TTCTAAATGACAGCTTTGCAGGATAGAGTAATCTTGGTTGTAGGTTCTTGCTTTTCATCACTCTGAATATTTCTTGCCACTCCCTTCTGGCCTGCAAAGTTTCTTTTGAGAAATCAGCTGACAGCCTTATGGGAACTCCCTTGTAGGTAACTAACTGCTTTTCTCTTGCTGCTTTTAAGGTTCTCTCTTTGTCTTGAACTTTTTGCATTTTGATAATGATGTGTCTTGGTGTGGGCCTCTTGGGGTTCATCTTATTTGGGACTCTTTGTGCTTCTTGGACCTGTATGTCTGTTTCCTTCACCAAGTTAGGGAAGTTTTCTGCCATTATTGTTTCAAATAGGTTTTCAATTTCTTGTACTCTCTCTTCTCCTTCTGGCACCCCCACAATGCAAATGTTGTTGTCCCAGAGGCTCCTTACACTATCCTCATTTGTTTGGATTCTTTTTTCTTTTTTGCTGTTCTGATTGGGTCTTTCTTGCTTCCTTATATTCCAAATCGATGGTTTGCTTCTTGGCTTTACCTACTCCACTATTGAATCTGTGTAAATTATTCTTTATTTCAGTTAGTGCCTCCTTCATTTCTGACTGGTCCTTTTTTATGCTCTTGAGGCCCTCACTAAGTTCGCTGAGGTTCTCACTAAGTTCATTGAACATCCTTATAAGCAGTGTTTTGAACTCAGCATCTGTTAGATTGATTATCTCCATTTCGCTTAGTTCTTTTCCTGGAGATTTTTTCTGTTCTTTCATTTGGGACCTGTTTCTTTGTCTCCTCATTTTGGCTGCCTCTCTGTGTTTGTTTCTGTGTATTACTTAACGAGAGGTATGGGGCTAGCTGAGACCAGATGCTGCTTGTTTGAAAGAATTTAGGAAAACCTGAAGCAGGATTCAAGACAGGCCAATCCTATGGTTAAGCAAGTGGCAACAGCTTGGGTGGGCCTGAAAGTTGGGTGGGGTGGGGCCTCAGGGAGTCACCAGGGCGGGGCTACCAGTGTGAGCCATGTGCTGGCGTCCCAGATATGGCGGCTGTCTGCCGCCCCAGGGAAGGGCTCACCAAAGGAACAAAGGCCTCTGACAGCACGTTTGTCCCGGAGAAAGCCCCCTCTCCAGCCCTCACTCCAGTGCCAAACAGCTCAGTTCTTCCCTGTATGTCTCTGGCGCCCCTGAAGCTGCCTCCCCTCCAAGCTTAGAGGGAGAGAGTCTGGTAAGTTTGTGCGCGGGCCCTTTAAGGAGCTGCCTGGGGCTCCAGCCGCCTCAGCCTCCCTGAGCCTCAGTTCCTGCTGGTTTTTCCAGCCAGAAGTTATGGGGATTCTCTTCCTGGCACTGGAAACCTGAGCGGGGCGGCTGGTGTGGGACGGGGACCCCTCAGTCCTCAGGAAGGACCTTCCCAGCCAAGGTGTCCTCCTGATTTTTATCCGCCACACGTGGGTGTGGGACCAGCCCGTCCCCTCTGCCCTCCTACCAGTCTCAATGTGGCTGCTGCTTTAATTCCGTAGCTGTAGGACTTCCACTCAGCTCGTCAGGTGGTTCTGAAGGATGGTTGTGCTGTAGTTTAGTTGTAACTTTGATGTGGTCGTAGGAGGAGGAGATACGCGTTTACCTACCCACCATCTTGACCGGAAGTCTAATGTCTTTTTCTGATGTTGATATCAGAGTGATGCTGGCCTCATAGAATGAATTGGGAAGTGTTATCTCTTTTTCAACTTTGTGTAGAGTTGATATTAATTCTTGCTTAAATGTTTGGCAGAATTAACCAGTGAAACCATCTAGACCTGGCGTTTTCTCTGTGGGAAAGTTTTAAACCATAAATTCAATTTCTTTAATACATACAGGGCTGCCCTGGCTGGTTTGGCTCAGCAGTTAGCACAAAGGCCTGCAGACTAGGGGGTCGCAGGTTTGATTCTGGTCAAGGGCATGTGCCTTGGTGTGGTTTGACCCCTGGCCCTGGTCGGGTCATACGGGAGGCAACCAATCGATGTGTCTTTCTCATATCGATCTCTCTCTCTCTCTTTCTCTCTCCCCTCACTCCCTCCCACTCTATCTGAAAATCTACGGAAAAATATCCTCAAGTGAGGATTAAAAAAAAAAAGATACAGGGCTAACAATGTTATCTATTTCTTTCTGAGTGAGCTTTGGGAGTTTGTATGCTTCAAGAAATTTGTTAATTTCATCTAAGTTGTCTAATTTATTGGTAAAACATCGCTCTTAATGTCTGTAGGATTTGTAGTGATGCTTTTTCTTTCATTTCTGATATTGATAATGTGTGTCTTTTCTATTTTTTTCCTGATTAGTATGTCTAGAGGTTTATAAATTTTATTGATCTTAAAGAGCCAGCTTCAGCCTGGCTGGTGTGGTTCAGTGGTTAAGCATTAACCCATGCACCAAGGGGTCGCCAGTTCGATTCCCAGTCAGGGCACATGCCCAGGTTGTGGGCCCGATCCCCAGTGGGGGGCATGCAGGAGGCGGCCAATCGATGTTCTCACTCATCAATGTCTCTCTCTCTCTCTCTCTCCTTTCCTCTCTCTAAAATCAATAAAGAAAAAATATTAAAAACAAAAAAGAACCAGGTTCAGGTTTCATTTTTTTTTAATCCTCACCCAAGGACATTTCTCCATTTTTTATTCAGATAGAGCGGGAGGGAGACAGAGGAAGAGAGAGAGAGAGAAACATTGATGTGAAAGGGACACATCGAGTGGCTGCCACCCACATGACCCAACCAGGGCCGGGGACAAACCACAACCAAAGTACATGCCCTTAGTGGGAACTGAAGCCGGGTCTCTCTAGACCGCAGGCCAATGTTCTAACCGCTGAGCCAAACCAGCCAGAGCAAAGTTTCATTTTTTAAAAATCATTTTCTGTTTCTCAGATTTCTGCTCTTTATTATTTCCTGTCTCCTACTTGCTTTAGGTTTAAATAGCTCTTTTTTTCTAATTTCTTAAGCTGATGTATTTGATTTGAGACTTTCTTCCTTTTATTTTTTATTTTTATTTTTTTATTACTTTTTTTTGTTATAGATGTTTCTCCTTCCCCCCTCCATTGACTCCCTCCTTCCTATCCCCTGAGACTTTCTTCCTTTTAAATGTAGAAATTTAATGATATAAATTTTATTCTAATCTCTGCTTTAACTTCATCCGACAAATTTTGATATGTCATTTAAATATTTTAAATCCAGTTCAAAATATTTTCTAATATCCTTTGTGATTTCTTCTTTGACCTGTGGGTCATTTAGAAGTGTATTGTTTAGTTTTGAAGAAGTTTTTTTTTAGATATCTCTCTGCTACTGATTTCCAATTTCATTCTATGATGATCCAAGAACATACTTGGTGTCATTTAAATCATTTTAAATTTATTATGTGTGAAGGTAGGCTGGGGATCCATAGGGGCCTGTTGGTGGAGAGAATGTGATCTTTATCACAAGATACCAGAGGGTTTTAAGCAAACAGGCATTTGATTTGAATTGTGTTTGATTGGTCTGGTGTGAGAGAGGGGAACTGGGGTGCCTGGGATGGGGACCTGGGACTTGAGGTTTCCCTAAGTTGTCCAAAGAGAGTGGACAGTTGTGTAAAGAGTCTGGGTCTCCAGGGAAGTGTATGACTGTGGCAGGGCTGCAGTTAATAGGGCACAATCGGCACAGATGAGGGTGAGGGGCTTGGTGGTCTGGAAGAAGCCCTGGACGGGGCGTCAGGCTGGGGTTCACCATGGGACAGTGAGCATGTCACTCCCTCTCTCTGGGCTTTACTTTCTTCACCTCAGAAATAGTGGTCAGCCTCACACATCCTGTGGTTTTAACAGCCTGGGCTGCAGCTGGCACGAGCAGAGTCCTTGCATGAACTGGGAAAGGGTGACCCCTTGAGATAGACACACGTCAGAAAGGTGCCCCTGTGGTGTAAGGTCTAAACGCAAGGCCCAATATTATGTGCTTTTTGCCATCTGGTGAAACCAGGCGGGTCTTGCATGGCCCATCTGCAAGTTTCTCTCCCCATTCTGCCCCTGTGGACAAGCTCCCCTGGCCTAAGGACCCTCCTCCTCCAGGGGGCCAGCACAGTTCCTATTACTCTTGAGCACCATATTTTAGTTTCCTGTGAAATCATTCAAATAAGCCCACTACATCCTCCCTCGGGAACCAGGGGCACCCACCCCCTTTATACTACAAAGCCTCTCCCACAGCCCCAGGGGGGTCACTGTCCTGAGCCACCCCGGGGCCCTGCATGGTGTGCGTGGTACTGACTGTGAGTTCAGCTATGTCGGGCTGTCCCGTAAGCACAGGTGGGAAGCCCTCCCTCACCAGCCACCAGCCACCAGCCACCAGCCACCAGCCACCAGCCACCAGCCGGTAAACTGGAGGGATGGAAACGCCCTTCTCAGAGTGAGCACAGCCCCCGGGAGAAGGGGTGGGCCAGGGCAGCCCGAGCTGGATTTCAGCCGCAGGTGCCTCCTGAGCGCGTGCCCTGGGGCAGGATGGACCTGGACACCGGTCTGTATCTGGCAGCTGTTAGCAGTTGTTGCAGGAGTCTCTGTGCTAAGAAGACCCGATGGCCCCGTCGCCCACCCTGGGAGGCGGGTTCCACCATCATTCTCATTTTACAGATGAGGACTCAGGGAGTGGTGGGGGAGAGGTGGGAACCCAGGTCTGTCTGGACTCTGCCCTTGTCTGTCCTGTGATCCACTCTGGCAGATGGGGGCGGAGGGAGGGGAAGTGAGAAACCTGCAGAGCCAGGTTCTGGGGGGGGGGGGGCGGAGGGCGGAGAGAGGGTGTGCAGATGTGAGCCTGGCGGGGAAGGGAGGGACCCATCTTGTTAATGAAGTGACCCGAGGGCAGCTCGGTGGGCTCCCGTAGGGCTGAGACCGTGGAAGGTCTGATCAGGGAAGGGACAGCGGCAGACGGCCATGCTGCACACTCAGCCCTGGCTGCCGGGCCCCGGCCACACCAGACCCTCGAGGCTGCCCGGGTGGCTTCCACCCTCTGATTGGAGACAGGACGGTCCCTCCGCACAGGCAGAAGTTCTAGAACCAGGTGCTTTCTGTAATGATCACCTCTCGCTGGCTGCCCCTGGCTGCTCCCGATCTCCTAGAATAACCGACAGAGAGCAGTGACTGGCGGGGAATGGCCACCCGGGGGGTGTGTGGAGGGCGGAACTGGGAGTGGATGTTATGGGAGTGTCAACTCCATGATATCAGGGTTTCGTCGACCGCTGTGCACCCAAAGCATAAGATGGTGGCTGAGACACAGTAGGTACACAGCAGAAATGAGTTAAGCGAGAGTAAATTAAATCCCAGCGTCGCTGCGTCTCAGCTGGGCATCCTTAGGCAGGTTACATAGCCTCTCTGGGTCTCCCCTGCCTTGACAGTGAAACTGCACATTACAGCACCTTGTGGGCTTATCATTTGGATTAAATAAGATGCTGTATTAAAACAATCAGGGCCCACTAAGCACCAGTTGTTATTATTACTATTATCGTAACATGGCTCCTGCTCAGCCTTAGGGTCCCCACGCGTACCCTCATCCCGGACGCAGCCGCTGCAGAGAGTAGGTGCTGTGCGCCGGGCACTGTCCTTGGAGCTTTCGTATAATTATTTAAACCCCAAGACAACTCTTTGAGCTGGGTTGTTTTTTCTTTCTTCTTTTTTTAACACCCATTTTACAAAGGAGGAAGCAGACACATAAAAGTGATTCTGACTCTAACACGGAGCTGAGGAATGTTCCCTCATTTCTATCCTCTCCAAGAACATACTAAGTGCAGCAGGATTTGTTCCTGGAGGGGCCGAGAGAACCCGCCCTCCTGCGGGGGGTGGGCCTGAACCTCAGTGAAGAGCTCCCTGGGGCAGCAGGCCCTCTGGGTCAGTTTTGGTAAGAGAAGGAAGTACAGGCCCCTGGGGGTGGGGACTCCTCCCAGGCAGTCTGGCTGTGGCGCCGGGCTCCTAGCCATTATGTTTTCCTGCCTGGCACGGTCACTTTCTACCCTGAGACCTTGAATAAGTCGCTTCCTTTCCTGAATGGGGATAGCAGTCCTCTCTCCCCGAGGGTTGTTGTCAAGGTTAATGGTTTCAGAAACGCGAGCCTTGCCACCCTCTGAGCCGCTGCCCTGAGCACAGTGTCACTCTAGCTGTTGGTGTCAGCCCAGGTCCGACCCTCTCCGCCCAGGGCTCCCTAACCCGTGGGCTGCCACATCGGCAGCCCCACCCAGCAACACCTTGTGTGAGAGAAGCCCAGACCCACTCCCAGGTGGCCAGTCACTCACTGGTTCTCCAGGTCCTGGATGGTGTCAGGGAGTGGAAGTCCCTGCGTCTCCGGGAGGAAGAGCAGGACAAGGCTGGAAACGATGGGGGTGACACCGAAGCAGATGGGGGGCAGCAGGGGCAGGGCCTGGCGGGTCATCATGATCAAGGGACCCATCACAGCCCCCAGCCGACCTACTGACAGCAGGAAGCCATCTGCTGTCATCCTGTGGGCAGAGGGGATGGCCCGAACACTTGTCATAGCTGGCACTCTGGGGGGGAGGGTTCTTACCAAGGGGGGGTATTTGGTTGGGTTGGGAGATGCCAGGAGAGTAAAATCTGGGCTAAAGGAGTTGTCTTCTTCAAGGTCTTCACTAATGTCACCTCCTCCATGGAGCCCACCTAGATTTTCCCATCCAGAGGGGGCCTCTGCTTCTTTGGAACATTCAGCATCCTTCCTGGGAACTCTCTAGGGCCCACTCCATTCTGATCTTAGGTCACTTGAGGCTTGCCTCGGGGTTCCTGCTAGGCTTGCCTCAGGGGTTCCTGAGTTGCCAGCTTGAGCTTTCTATATCTCAACAAAATCAATAAATGCGCATCAGAAAAATGAATGAGGCCATCTGGTGTGGCTCAGTAGTTGAACGTCAACCCACGCATCAAGAGGTCGCTGGTTCGATTCCCGGTCAGGGCACATGCCCTGGTTGTGGGGCAGATCCCCCCGTGGGGGGCATGCAGGAGGCGGCCAATCAATGTTTGTATCTCTCTCTCCCTCTCCCTTCCTCTCTCTTTAAAAATCAATAAAGAAAAACAATTTAGCCCTGGCTGGTTTGGCTCAGCAGTTAGAGCGTTGGCCTGCCGACCAGAGAGTCCCGGGTTCGGTTCCCGCTAAGGGCATATACCTCGGTTGCAGTTTGTCCCCGGCCCCGGTTGGGGTCGTGTGGGTGGCAACCAGTTGGTGTGTGTCTCTCACATCGATGTTTCTCTCTCTCTCTTCCTCCCTCTTTCCCTCCCGCTCTATCTGAAGATAGATGCAAAAATGTCCTTGGGTGAGGATAAAAAAGAAAAAGAAAAAATTTTAAAAAAAAGAATGAAAGGATGGACAAGTAAGGACCAGGAGTGAGGGAAAGCGCCCCGGGCTAGGTATCCGGGGACTGAGGTCCACTCTTGCCGGTCAGTCCAGGAGGCCCTTCGATACTGTCCTTAAGCCTCAGCTTCCCCAGCTGCCCAGGGTTTCCTGTCTGTGTCCCATGGAGCTGTGTCCTGGGAGGGGCTCTGCTGGGACAGGGAGGGGCCCTGGGGAGCAGTAGGTGTCCCCACATTACCAGCTCTTGGTTTCCTTACCCGTGTTCCAATGAGACTCTGCTGGAGCAGAGGGCTCTGTGGCCAGAGCGGTTTCTGGTCACAGGCCTAGAGGCCCGAAGGCCCCCCTGCGAGGCTGCCTCCCGGGTCAGGACCCCTGGCAGGGGCTGCTCTGGGGCCCTGGCTGAGGATGGCCTTTGGGGGAGGAAGCTGGGCCCTGTGCTCACTTCCATGTTGGCCGCTGGGTCCCCTCTGCCCTCTGCTGTGTGTCCTTAGATGGCCACTGACCCTCCCAGGGGTGTCCCTTTCTGCCCACCCCCGGTTCGGCAGCCCCCCGGGCACAGCCCCCAGCCCAGCCTACCGTAGTGAGGTTGGGAAGAGTTCAGACTTGTAGACGGAGAAGCAGTTTAAGGTTATACCAAAACATCCCTTTCCCAGGACGGCGAAGACTACGCGCAGGGCCTGCAAGTCTGGGCAGAGGGCAGGGTGAGAACAGGGCTCCCGAGAGGTGCCAGCCCGGGGCAGGGCGCTGGCTTCTGCCACAGGCTTCCGCGGGCTGAGCGCAGGTCAGGGCCAGGCCCCCAGAGCCAGGCGGGGATTCAGGGCAGGAGGACTTCATGGCAGGTGGCCGGGGGCGGGGGTGCAAGGCAAGCGCCCAGCAGGTCTGGGTGGGCGAGCATGGCAGGGCGGCACCCGGCCTGCCTCCCGAGAGGTTTTCCAAGACCTGGCAGCCTCGTTCAGAAATAAGCTGGTAAATAAACCTGCCTCTCCTTCCTGGGAGGAGAGGGTCGTTCAGGGCCCAGGCCTGCAGCGGCAGCCCCGGGGTGCCCAGGTTCCCAGAATCCTTCTCACTGACCCTCAGCTGGCCTCGGGGATCTCGGGGTTCACAAAGAACCATAGGTGACTAGCAGGATTCCTTGCTAGGAAGCCGAGGTCCCGGCACACTCCAGCCATCCCTGCCTCCCCGTCCTCCTCCGTGGGCAGCAGAAGGGGCGTGGAGAGGTTTGCTAAGCCTGGTGGCCTCGTTTGGAAGTAAACTGGTAAACAAGGGCCCTCCCAGCCGGCCCAGCTCTCTGCCCACGAATGCCGCTTGATTTTGAGAAGACACCACACACATCCGGCTCGGTGCCCGTCCTGCCTCACTTCCAGCAGCCTGAGGCCCGTCTGGGCTCCTGGCCCTTCCCCCCACTGCAGGCCCAGCCTCGGCCCTGACGGCTCCTCCGAGCCGGGCTCCGACTCTGCCAGCTGAGGGATCCTGGGCACGTGACTTCACCACTGACTCTCAACCTCCTTGGGAAAATGGGCAGGGCTACTTGGGGGTTGGCTTCCTGAGATGATTTGGCAAAGGCTGTAAAGGTGATAAACGTGGGCAGAGCTTGGACAACAGGCCCACCAGCTGTGGGGCCGGGGAGGGGAAGGCGGCCAGTGCACAGGGGAGCAAGGACCCTGGCGGCCGGCAGCTCCCTCCCTGTCTTCTCCCGCTGCCCGGCCTCACCTTGTGGAACCAGCACGTTGGCCAGGATGGAGAGGCCCCCCATGGCCTGGGAGCTGGCCAGGACCACACGGCGGCCAAAGAACCTGAGCAAGAAGTTGCTGGTGGCCCGGGCCAGGAAGTCCACAGCTCCGAAGAGGACCTGGAGGAGGTAGATGTCACTCCCCAGGTTCTGCAGGTCTAAGATCAGCCCGAAGTAGGACATCATGTGGGAGAAGCTGCAGGGCAAAGCCAGAGTTGGATCCTGGCCCCACAGAGAGAGGGCACCTGCAGCATCTCCTGACGGCCGAGGGTCCCGGGAGGGCACAGTCCTGAGCTCGTCCCTGTCAGAGCTGGAGAAGCGTGTCCTAGGCAGGACTTGTCTCCCCAGGGTCAGGCTGTCCCAGGAGAGGGTGGGCAGGGCGGTGGCCTCATCCATCCCAGGGCTCCTGGCCACAGTCAGACAAAAGGCTTGACTGGCCCAGGTGGACAGGGCTGGGGGGCCGAGCTGCTCCCTCCGTCCAGTATCCTCTGGCTTTGTTTCTCGAATCGAGACTTGGCTCTGCCTCTGTCAACCAGAGAGGTTTCTGTCCCTCTCTGGTTGCCTATTTCTGTCTTGAAAGATGGGATTCATGCCCTGGCCGGTTTGGCTCAGTGCTTAGAGCATCGGTCCTTGAACCGAAGGGTCTTGGGTTCGATTCCCAGTCAAGAGTATGTACCTGGGTTGCAGGTTTGATCCCTGACCCCAGTCAGGGTCCCAGGGAAACAACCAATCAATGTGTCTCTCTCGCCCTCCCCCCCCTTCCACTCTACCTAAAAATGGAAAAATATCCTCAAGTGAGGATTAATAAAAACAAACAAACAAATAAACAAACAAAAAAGATGGGATTCGTGACAGAATGAAGTTGGGAAGGCAGGACTGGGCCCACCTTCGGGGTAGAAATCTTACTGCCCAGCCCTTGGGGGTGCTGCCCTGTGACAAGTCTACACAGCTAGAGGGACCGTTCAGAAGGGCCACCCAGCTCCCAACTCCCGGGCGGGCTGGGCCGGCTGTGAATGCGCCAGAGGACGTCTCCCCTGCCCCCTGTCGCCCCACCCCCAGGAGCGGACCCCAAGAGCCCTGGCCAGGAAACTCCCTGCTGGCTGACCTCAGTCTGCTTGGGAGGGGTTGGGGGGAAGGGCACCCTGACATGGGCTCCTGGGCTCCCAAGTAGCTAAACTTACAGGAGCTGAATTTCCACAGTTTGGAGATTGAATGTGGATCCACAAGTGGCCACGGCGTGAACTTGCTCTCAACCACTTTTCAAGTCTGTCCCCAACCCTGTTTCCCCTGGACACTCACCCAGCCCCCCCCTTCCCCTGGACACTCACCCAGCCCCCCGTTTCCCCTGGACACTCACCCAGCCCCCCGTTTCCCCTGGACACTCACCCAGCCCCCCGTTTCCCCTGGACACTCACCCAGCCCCCTGTTTCCCCTGGACACTCACCCAGCCCCCCGTCTCCCCTGGAAACTCACCCAGCCCCCTGTTTCCCCTGGACACTCACCCAGCCCCCCGTGTCCCCTGGACACTCACCCAGCCCCCCTGTTTCCCCTGGACACTCACCCAGCCCCCCTGTTTCCCCTGGACACTCACCCAGCCCCCCGTTTCCCCGGGACACTCACCCAGCCCCCCGTTTCCCCGGGACACTCACCCAGCCCCCCGTTTCCCCTGGACACTCACCCAGCCCCCCCGTTTCCCCTGGACACTCACCCAGCCCCCCCGTTTCCCCGGGACACTCACCCAGCCCCCCGTTTCCCCGGGACACTCACCCAGCCCCCCGTTTCCCCTGGACACTCACCCAGCCCCCGTTTCCCCGGGACACTCACCCAGCCCTCCCTGCTGTGCCCCGAAGGCTGTGCCCACAGCATCTGCCGCACCGGCCACCACGATGTTTCCCGAGTTTGTAAGGTGACGTGGGGCCTGCACACGGGCTCACACAGGGGCCAGAGCCTCCGCCTGAACGGATGTGAGCAGCCCTGGGAGAGGCCAGGAAGCTGCAGAGGCTGAAGGAATGACCCTGGACATTCCTGACATCTGGGGGGTGGGAGTGGGGGGGAGGCAGGGAAAGGCACTCCTAATTCCTCAGAAAGCAACTTAAACAGAGAACGCATTCGATCCATTCTAAGATATAGCAAAGGTTTGCATTATAACCCATATGTGGCTAAATATAGCATAAAATCAACATTTTTGTGATCTTCAGTTTTGTTTCAAGGTAAGTCCCAATCAAATGTGACCTAGAAGTCACTGTAACTGTGGGGGAGTTGTCTTGGTCCCAGGCATCCTTGGGTGCCAAGACGGGGCCCCTGGGCTGCGGCGAGGACTCCATGTTCCACGGAGGGCCTGGCAGGTGCCATTTGGGAGAGGACATGGCTCAGCCCGGCTCACCACCTGCTGGTCCTCTTGGGCAAGTTTGCCACTCTGGGCCCCACCGTCCCCATCTGTAAGTGGGGGTTTATTTTTAATTTTTATTTTTTTTATCCTCACCAAAGGACATTTTTGCATTTAGGGAGGGAGAGAGGAGAGAGAGAGAGAAACATCCATGGGAGAGAGACACATCGAGTGGCTGCCACCCACACGACCCCAACCAAGGCCGGGGACAAACTGTAACCGAGGTACGTGCCCGTAGCGGGAACTGAACCCGGGTCTCTCTGGTCCGCAGGCCGACGCTCTAACTGCTGAGCCAAACCGGCCAGGGCTGTAAGTGGGGGTTTAAAGAACTTATCTCACAGGTTGCTCAGAGGGGAAAGCAGGTGGCCCCGTGCACTCAGCCCTCTCGGAGTGAGCTGCTGGGCTGAGTCCAGTGCCGACAAGCAGGGCCGCTCCGGCCACTGCTGGGCCCGGGCTTTCACCGGCCCCCGGCCCTGCCCTCCTGCGGGCTTCCTGCAGGAGCTGCCCTCCACGCATGCTGCCCTCCACGCATGCTGCCTCTCCCCTGCCTGCCGGGGCTCCTGCCTCGGGGAAGCTGCCTGTCCCAGCCAGAAATCACCCCAAGAGACCTGCAGGGGTCCCCCACAGCACTCCCCCTCCCTCTGCAGCTCTGTGTCCTGGAGGGGAGATGAGGGTGGCATACCCTGACTATTTTTTTTATCCTCATCTGAGGACATTTTCCCATTTTTATTCAGATAGAGTGGGAAGGAGAGAGAGAGAGAGAAACATCGACGTGAAAGGGACACATCGAGAGGCTGCCACCTGCACGACCAACCAGGGCCGGTGACAAACTGCAACCGAGGTACGTGCCCTTAGCGGGAACCGAACCCGGGTCTCTCTGGACCACAGGCCAAAACCACTGAGCCAAACCAGCCAGGGCCATACCTGACTATTAACATACACCAGCTTCTCCGGCGGAGTATGGGCTGGCGGAACAGGTCCAGCTGCGACTGGTGGGACTTTGCAGAGGCCACCTCCTCCTCCATACTGGACATCAGCACCTCCGGGGAGAGCAGGGCTACAGTGAGAGTTGCCCCATCCCCATGCCAGGGAATGGTGTCCACAGTGACAGGGGAGCCTGGCCTTGACTGTGGAGACTGGAGAGCTCAGTGGGAGGATGGAGTGGGGACAGAAAGGGTTTTCTCTGCCTCCTGGCTGAGCTGCTTCTGCAGACCTGGCCCACCTACTCAGAACCAAGGAACGAGCCTTGGGTCCCAGCTCTGGCCGTCTGGGCTGCAGGCTACAGGAGGCTCTTGGCGGTTACTACACAAAGTCTCACCGTTCCTCCTCATTCGTCAGGGTTGGCATCAGGACATGCCCACTGTAGCCACACTGGCTCCTCACTGTGCCCCAAGTGCCCATCCAGTCTCCTCCTGCACCCCTGGGCCCTGCCTACCCTGTGCTCAGTTCAGTCCTGCTCAGTTCTAGCTTGCCTCCTCCTGGAAGCCTTCCCAGATCCTTCCTTCCCAGATTGTTTTTCTAGTCTCTGGCCACACATCCTCCCACACCTACTTCCTTGAGATAGTTACCTTCCGATAAGAACATCCTGCTTCCCAAATATATTGAGAAGCCCTATGAGGTGAGTGTGCAATATATGTGGATTAAGGTGGTGAAGAAAAAGGTGGTGATGTGGCTATGTTATTGATAATGGTTATATTGTTATTGGTGGTGGTGATGATAGTGATAATGGTAATGATGGTAGTGAAGGTGATGGTGATGGTGTTAATGGTGTTTTATAAAGATGCTGATGGTGATGTTAGTAATGGTATTGGTGACGCTAATGGTGATGTAGATAAAGTTGATAGTTTTTGTCTGCTGGTAATGGTGATGATGGAGGTGATGGTGGGAGTGTGGATAGTTGTTGTAATGCTGTTGATGATGGTGTTGATACTAGTTGTATTGTTATTATTGGTGGTAGTCATGGTAGTTGTGTTTGTGTAGAAATGATAATAGTGGTGGTGATGGTGGGTATAGTGGAGGTGGTAAGAGTGGAGATGATGGAGATAATGATAATGGTGATGATGGTAGTGGTGGTGATGGTGATTGTGGTGGTGATGATGGTGATGGTAATGATGATGATGGTGATTGTGGTGGTGATGATAATGATGATGGTGGTAGTAGGTGGTGATGATGGTGATGGTGATGATGGTGATGGTAATGATGATGATGGTGGTAGTAGGTGGTGATGGTGGTGATAATGATGGTGATGTTGATGATGGTATTGGTGATGATGGTGGTAGTGGTGGTGATGATGCTGGTAGTGGAGTGGACAGTAGTGAAGTTGGTGACAGTACTGATAATGCATCATTGGATATCCTCTCCCAGTTATGTACCACACTCAGGGTCACAAACAGTAGCATCTTACCTCTAAGGTCAGTGTCTTTTTGGCTTCCTTGTGGCCATTTATCCTGGCTACCTTTTTGAGTTCCTGAAGTGCTTGGTCTGGTTTGCCAGTGATAATTAGCCATCGTGCAGATTCCGGCAGCCACCTGTTAAAGAAGCAGGTGCTTGGCTGGGTCTTTGCTTTTTCCGTGCGTGCTGAGCACCCCCCCCCCCCAGGTCAGGTGGGCAGCAGACCCTGCCATGGCAGCCCGGTCTCTCTCAGCACTGCTGATGCCAGGCTGCGAGATGAAGTCCCTGATGGCTTCAGATGGGTCTCAATGCCCCTTTCCCCGGGGCCATCCTATCTGGCTTCCTGGCTGCCAGGATAGTTCCTACCCATCTGAACATTGCGCAGAGCCAGCACAGGCTGCCGGGCCTGGGTGATTCTGGGACCATTTCTATGACAGAAAGCTTACATCATGCTGAATTAAAACACATACACACATTACATTTAAAACATCCCAGCCAGCCCGGCTGGTGTGGCTCAGTGGTTGAGCGTCGACCCACGCACCAAGAGGTCGCTAGATCCATTCCCAGTCAGGGCACATGCCCAGGCTGTGGGCCCGATCCCAGTGGGGCCATGCAGGAGGCGGCCAATTGATGTTCTGTCTCATCAATGTTTCTCTCTCTCTCTCCTTCTCCCTTTCTCTCTCTCTAAAAATCAATAAAGAAAAAAAACTTTTTAAAATAAATAAATAAATAAATAAAAAGACCCCAGCCAGAAAAGAATGGTTTTATAAATGAGTCTGCTTCTTTCTAGCCTCAGGACAGATGGGCAGGGAGAAGGGTCTCCCTCGGTGAAAGAGACAGTTTCCCCAGCCAACAGGATCTGAGCCCCATTTGCAGAGGAGCTAAGAAAAACCTCCAGAGGGACAGTGGTTAAAAGAGTCAGCCTGCCTGGGTTCAAATCCTGCCTCTGGCATTCACTAGCTGTGTGGCCTTGGGCAAGTTCATGAACCTCTCTGGGGCTTCAGTCTCTCATCAGAAGACGCTGGTATAATATCATCTTCCTCCTGAGAAGTGTTAATACACATCTGCTGTTACCAACAGCATCCAGGACACACCCCACCGGCGTGATCAGGGTGATCTGCCCAGTCAGCATAAGACAAGGGGCTGTCTTCCTCCTTGCCTGCAGGTCCTGCTTGTACAATAAAACTCCATGTGGTCAGGGGCTTTATTTGCTGAGGTGTCCCCAGTGCCCAAAACAATGTCTGGCATGGGCAGAGGTGCACTAAATATTTAGGAAGAAATGAATTAGCCCTTAGAACTCTTTACACCCCAGAGTAGACGCACCTGGGCCCAGGTGAGCTCAATTCTGACTCATGGGCACAAGAGAACTTATGGGGACCTGATCCGTGTTTGCTTTCCGGGATCGCTTTCTCCCAACCCAAGCAGGTACCTGCAGACCTGTGGGTTTTTGTGGCGCCCAAACAAGAGTGATGATATCTTTCCGTAGCCAGTGCTGGTCCTCAGGGTGTGGGTGCCCACTGGTAGACAAGTGATGTGCGAGTGAGGCCGAAGAGTGTGGGGGCGCTGGCGCCAATGCGAAGGCGGCTAGGGAGCTAGATAGGACCCTCAGACCTCCGGCTGAAAGGCCCCCCGAACTCTGAGTCCCCAGACTCTCCCGCCAGAGAGGGCTCCGTACACATCACTCCTTCCATGGCCCTCAGCACCTTGCAAGCTGTGGCCGGCCAGGGTGGTGGGGTTGAGGGGCACCCTCCCACCCTGGGCACTCCTCCTGTTCAGCGATGCTCTCCCCCAGGAATGATACCCCGCACCTACCAGGATATCAGGAAGATGGCAAAGAAGGGCGTCGATACAGCCAGATGGAGGTCTCGCCAGTCCCGCAGGGCGAAGGCCACACCCCCCAGGACCATCTGGCCTGCGCAGTAGGTGCACCCCAGAACCGTCATGGTGAGAGCCCTCCGGTGGGTCATGGTCCACTCCACCACTGAAAGGCGAGGCAGGCGCGTTCAGGTGAGGGCACATGCGGGGGGCCTTGAGCCCCAGCCCCCCACCTCCCGTGACAGGAAGTGGGCCGAGCCGGTGACTCACGGAGCGTTGTCGAGGTCAGGATGATGCCGGCCAATCCAAAGGCGCTCAGAAATCGGAGGCCACAAAAGACGAGGAAATTGGGGGCAAAGATGGTGCTGGTGTTGGCCACGGCCACCTGCAGGCAGCACCAGCTCAGCATCGACTTCCGCCCAATCCTGTTTGGGGAGCAAGCACAGCGGGAGCTGGAGCGGCCTGGGGCTCGCACACAGGAGCACAGCCGACGCCCGCTGGAGCCCTGCTGGGACCGGAAGTCAGTCAGGCAGCCTCAGAAGCCAGGGCACCTGCAGGGTGTTTGTCACGACAACGGCCGACGTCTGGCGCTCAGAGGGCAGCACAGCCTCAAGCTCAAGAATGGACTCTGGGCCCTGACCGGGTAGCTCAGGGGTCCCGATGCGCCAAGGTTGTGGGTTCGATCCCTGGGCAGGGCACATACAGGAATCAACTAATGAATGTAGGAATAAGTGGAACAACAAATCGATGTTTCTCTCTCTCCCTTCCTCTCGCGCTCTCTCAAATCAATCAATACAAACTTTTTAAAAGAGAAAATGTGAAAATTAAAAAAAAAAGAATGGACTTTGGCAGCAGACGCTTGGGTTTGAGTCCCGCTCCGCTCTCCCTGAGCAAACTTGAGCACACACTCGGGGTCTCTGAGCCAGTCTCCCCGCCCGGGAAATGGGGGTATTCACCATGACGTGCCTTGTCGGGCTGCTGTGAAAATCAAGACACTGAGCGAGGGGACAGTGTAGCCAGGAAGCGGAGGACGCGTGGCCCTGGGCGGGCCAGCCTGCTAGCTCCCCACCAGCCTGTGCCTGGCGTCAGCCTGTGGGTGCGTCAGGAGCTCGGGGGAAGGCCACCCGCAGAGAGATGCGGGGCAGGGTCCTAGCTCAGGTCACCTGGAGGGCCTCTGAGGAGGAGGCTTGGAGCTGAGGCCCAGGTGCTCACAGTGACAGCTGAGCCCCGGCCAGCTCCGCCCGGACCACTGCCTGCGTTCAGCTAAGCGTGTGTTGGTTGGATGGCAGAGATGTGGGCAAGTTTGGCCCTGCCTGTCTGAGCAGCACTCAGGAGCCAGGACTCGGGCCCAGACCCGAGGTGAGGTCTGGAGGCGGACACCCGGCTCTGACCCCAGGCTCACCGGGGACGGCAGACCCCATTGCGATCCGGCTCCTGTGCAGACAGCCCTGAGGAAGGAGCAGAGGCTGGATGTCCCTCCCTGCTGCTCGGGCTCCTGGGCAGGCCCAGGGTCATCTGAGGCCCACAAATAGTCACAACAGGAGAGTGGACATCGTGCCAGGCTGAGGGCCATGCTCTGCATGTGATTAACTCACTTATAACATCACAACAACCCTCGGGGTAGGTGCCCGGCCCCCACTTACAGGAGGAAACCAAGGCACAGAGTAGCAAGGAAGCCGCTTCTCGGAGGCGGGGCTCGGAGGCGGGACTCGGGAGGCAGCCACGGGAGGCAGAGTCCTCGCTGACCCAGAGCCCGAAAGGTGGGAAAGCAGTCGTCCTCCCCGACGTCACGACTGTGCCACCCCAGGGCCCTGCCTTTCTGGAGCTACATCGGGTGGGGACAATAAATGAGTGGGTGCCGGCAGAGGGGGTGCTGTGAGGGATGCGGGGCAGGGTCCTAGCTCGGGTCGCCTGGAGGGCCTCTGAGGAGGAGGCTTGGAGCTGAGGCCTGCATGCTGGGCACCGAGCAGAGGTGGGTGGCTGCCAAGTGCCAGGCAGGAGTGGGCAGGGACAGTGGGGGTGAGGTGGGCAGGTACAGTGGGATTGAGGTGGTCAGGGACGGTGGGGGTGAGGTGGTCAGGGACGGTGGGGGTGAGGTGGGCAGGGACGGTGGGGGTGGGGTGGGCAGGGACGGTGGGATTGAGGTGGGCAGGGACGGGGGGATGGGGTGGGCAGGGACAGTGGGGGTGAGGTGGGCAGGGACGGTGGGGGTGGGGTGGTCAGGGACGGTGGGATTGAGGTGGTCAGGGACGGTGGGGGTGGGGTGGGCAGGGACGGTGGGATTGAGGTGGGCAGGGACGGTGAGGGTGGGGTGGTCAGGGACGGTGGGATTGAGGTGGTCAGGGACAGTGGGGGTGAGGTGGGCAGGGACAGTGGGGGTGAGGTGGGCAGGGACGGTGGGGGTGGGGTGGTCAGGGACGGTGGGGGTGGGGTGGGCAGGGACGGTGGGATTGAGGTGGGCAGGGACGGTGGGGGTGGGGTGGTCAGGGACGGTGGGATTGAGGTGGTCAGGGACAGTGGGGGTGAGGTGGGCAGGGACAGTGGGGGTGAGGTGGGCAGGGACGGTGGGGGTGAGGTGGGCAGGGACGGTGGGGTGGGGTGGGCAGGGACGGTGGGGGTGAGGTGGGCAGGGACGGGGGGATGGGGTGGGCAGGGACGGTGGGGGTGAGGTGGGCAGGGACGGTGGGGGTGAGGTGGGCAGGGACGGTGGGGGTGGGGTGGGCAGGGACGGTGGGGGTGGGGTGGGCAGGGACGGTGGGGGTGGGCAGGGACTGTCCTGGGTAAGGCATCCTTCTGATCCTCACACAAGTGTTTGCACAGTCACCACGAGAGCTGCATCAGGATAGTGTCCTTGAGGCTGGACGCCCGTTGTGGGGGAGTCTGGGCCTGCCCAGACCAGAGAGTGGTGACCTGACAAGGGGACAGTGTGCAGAGGAAGGGGGTTGGGCTGGGGGGGGTTTGTGACTGTGGGGGTGAGGGGAGGAGAACAGGGGTGGCTCCTAGGGTTCTGGGGTATGCCGTGGGCGGGGGCGTTTTCCAGGATGGAGTCCGGTGGGAGGGGCTGGGCTGGGGCGGTGCAGCTCTGGCCCTGGTCAGCGAGGTGCCTCCAAATGGAAGCTCCAAGCCGGCAGTCAGCTCTGTGGGCAAAGAAGGCCTGCGGGTCCTGGGCAGTGGTGCCCGGCAGGAAGAGAGGGCAGAGGGAGAGGGGAAGGCACTGGGCTACTTCTGGGCACGCCCCTGGGGGGGGTGGAAAGGGAGAGAGAGGAGGGGAGGAGAGATGAGGGGGGGAGAGAGGAAGGAGTATTTTTTTTTTTAATCCTCACCTGAGGACATTTTTTCATTTTTGTTGTTGTTGTTCAGATAGAGTGGGAGGGAGAGAGATAGAGAGAGGCATCGACGTGAAAGGGGCACATCGAGTGGCTGCCACCTGCACAACCCAACCAGGACCGGGGACAAACTGCAACTGAGGTACATGCCCTTAGCGGGAACCGAACCCGGGTCTCTCCGGACCACAGGCTGACGCTCTAACTGCTGAACCAAACCAGCCAGGGCAGGAGTATTTTTATTTTATTTTTTTAGGGAGACGAAGATTGAAACATTCATGTGAGATGTGAGATAGAAACATGGATGGATGGGCTGCCTCCTGCACGCCCCGTACTGGGGATCGAGCCCACAACCCAGGCATGTGCCCTGACTGGGCATCAAACCGGGACCTCTCAGTCCATGGGGGTGACGCTCAGTCCACTGAGCCGCACTGGCCGAGGGAAGGAGTATTCCCATTGCACAGCATGTCATGTACTTGAAGTTAAAAAGCAGTGTCTGGCCCTGGATGGTTTGGCTCAGCGGTTAGAGCGTTGGCCTGTGGTCCAGGGAGACTCGGGTTCGGTTCCCGCTAAGGGCACGTACCTCGGTTGCAGTTTGTCCCCGGCCCTGGTTGGTCGTGAGGGTGGCAGCCACTCGATGTGTCCCTTTCACATCGATGTTTCTCTCTCTCTCTCTATTCCTCTCTCTCCCTCCCACTCTATCTGAACAAAAAATGAAAGTGTCCTCGAGTGAGGATAAAAAAAAAGAAAAAAAGGCAGAGTCTGTTCCTCCCAGAAGACTGTTAGCTCCCTGAGCGCAGAGGCTGTGTAGCATCCAGCACACAGCAGGTGCTCAGTTAAGGGCAACAGCCGAGGGCAGAGAGCGACAGTACTCAGGGCGGTTTCCCACCTTGCAGCCTAACCTGCACCGGGTTCTTGGACATCACCGCCCCTGGCAACCTGGGACCCATGGCCAGACCCTGTTTTAGAAAACACTCACGTGACATTTCTGTGCCCCCGTCTCCCCCGACCATGCCCATTCCGTCCTCAAGGAGCCGGGGGCGGGGGCACTTACCAGTAGGAGAGGAGGCCCCAGGCGCAGGACCCCAGCAGGTTTCCTACCAAGAAGACAGCCTGGCCCATAGGCTTCAGGCCCTGGTTGTTGCACACCAGGCCCCACTGGAAGAGAACAGGTGCGACAGCTGGGCTCAGGTGACGTGGACCGGCAGAGCCAGGGTGGCAGGGGGAGATGGAGGCTGGAGTTCTCAGCCAGGAACACCTGCCACCCACGTTGGGGCCCCCGGACCCAGAGCCAGGAGACAGAGGTGTGCTGGCCGTCGTCAGCCTCCCCTCCCCCCTCACAGCCAACTGCACGGCACAAATGGGACAGGGCTCTGCGTCTGAAAGTGTGGTGGCCACTCCGAGTGGACGGTGTGGGCAGTGGCGGGAGGTGGTCAAGCCACAGGCTCCGACTCTGACTGCTCACGGCGGCTGGGGACCGCGGGTGAGCTCCCGCTCCTGGCTGAGCCGGTTTCCTCACACAGGTGCGCGTCGCTGTGACTTCTCGGTGCCGACGGCCCAGGCACCTGACCCCCCCAAGGTCAGTCCCTCACCGAAGCCTGACAGCTTCGCTCAGGTCTCCCTGTTTCTTCCTTTTCCCCTCGTGATGGCAGTGGGAGCCCCCGTCCCTACGGGCACCGTCCACCCTGCAAAGTGACCTCTGGAAAGTGCAAATCAGGTCACATCACTTTCCTGACCCAAAGCCTCCAACGACTTCCCTTTGCACTTCAAGAAAACTGAACCCCGCCCTGGCCGGTTTGACTCAGCGGTTAGCGCCTCGGCCTGAGGACCAAAGAGTTGCAGGTTCAGTTCTGGTCAAGGGCACGTACCTCGGTTGCAGTTTGTCCCCGGCCCTGGTTGGGTCGTGTGGGTGGCGACCACTCAATGTGTCCCTTTCACATCGATGTTTCTCTCTCTCTCTCTCTCTCTCCCCCTCCCACTCTATCTGAACAAAATATCAAAAAAATGTCCTCAGGTGAGGATAAAAAAAAAAGAAAGCCGAACCCTTCCACTACCTCCCCGCTCGTGGCCCCCGCGGGGCGGCCCGCTCCTGACAGGCTCCCACTCAGGTCTCTGATTCCACCGGGCTGTCTCCCGGCCTTCATGCCACTGATTCCTTCCCTGTAATCCAGGTCTCATCTTAAATGTCCCCTCTTCAGAGAAGCTTCCCTATCTGCCTGTCCCTTTCCCGCTCACAGGACCGCCTTTTCTCCCCTGTGCTCACTTATGCCGCTGGAGACGGGACAGGAGGGTGACGGAGTCCCAGGTTCTGGCCCCTAACTGCCTCGGTTCAATCAGGTCCCAGTGGGCTTTAGCTGTGTGTCCTGGGACAAGTTACGTAACCTCTCTGTGCTTCTGCTTTATCCGTGATTAAACGGGGACAATAGTGAGACCCACACCAGGGGAACACAGTGAAAGTGTGGCTACAGGGAAAGCATTTGGAACAATGCCATTGATATTACTGGTTTAAATGTTCACTGGTTCTGAATCCGCCAACAGAATACAAGATCCTGGAAGGCCCCCTGTTCGTCCTGTGACCCCAGCTGCACAGCAGAACCCCGGCCGTCCTGAGCAGTCGGCAATACAAGTTGAGGGGGTAGCATGTCATTTCATTGCAGTGCCGGAGGCGCTATGACGCCCCAGTCGTGGGTGGCTGGGTGGCCCTGGGAGGCCGGGAAGGAGGATGGCTGTGGGGTGGGCGGGGGGAGGCCCTTACCTCGGCCACGACGGTGGAGGTGAAGGTGCTGCGGTCATAGACCCAGCCATCCCTGCACGGCTCCGTGGCAGCCTCGCTCCAGTTGGTGGCCGTGGCGTTGGGCTCCAGGAGCTGCCACTGAGGTTGGCGGAAGCGGCGACACTGGTGAGGCTCATGGTTGGGGCCCAGTGGGATGGAGATGACCAGGAGGGCCTGGGCTGTGAGGTTCGTGAGGGCCTCCGAGCCATTGTCCAGCATGTGGGCGCGGCAGCGGTGGCCCGGGGTGGCAGCTGAGAAGTTGTCCAGGAGCATTTGGGCGGGTATGCAGACGGTGGGGAGGAGGAGAGTGATGACCTGCAGGGTCTGGAAGAGGCCCATGCCCCCAGCTCGCTCCAAGAGCTCCGTGAATGCCATGGGCCAGAGCGGCTGCCACCCGCGGCCAGTCCCCTGGGGGCCGTCAGGAGCCGGTAAATGTACAGCCTGCCGCCGGGACCCCAAGCAGGACAGGACCCCAGCCCCCAGATCTTCTGCCCTGATCACCTCTCCGGCCAAGTGGGCTTGGGTCACTGTCCAGCAACCAGTCAGGTGAGTCCTGAGATGACCGATGATTCGAAGAACCTGCTCTTCACGCCGTTCCCAGGAGTGACTGCATGGGCGCCCCACCACTCTGGACACGGGGGGACAAAGCTCACTGTGCCCTCGCTGCCCAGGGTGCCTGAAGCTCTCTGGTTCTCCAACCCTGAGTGAAAGGTCGAGTGAATTTTTAAAAACATAGTAAGATGCAATACCGCGATGTTACTGAATTACAGGTGCGGAGCAAATGCCAACTGGGCTGTTGCCTCAGTTAAACTTTAACCTCCGCGTGGGCTCCTGCGTGAGAACGGCGGGGTCGGCTGTGAGTCAGTCCTTAGCATCTCCCCGCTGGTCGGCTCATCGCGGTCCCCAACCTTAAACTTTCAGAACCCTCCACACGCGGCCCTTTAAATGGGGAGGCTGCTGGCCTAACCTTCACCCATGCCGGACAGTTTCAGCCCACCTTGTCAGGCAGAGGTGAGGACGGCGGGCCCTCCGCTGGGCTTAGAGCAGGCAGAGCTGGAGGAGGGCCAGGCTGGTGGCGTCTCCTCTGGCCCAGCACCGCCTGCCAGGCAGCGCTGGGAGACCTTCGGGCACACCGCACTATTTTGGGAAGCTTCTATTTTGAGGCTCCAGGTTGCCTTTATTAGATGGTAAGCTCCCCCAGGGTGGAAGTCATGGCTACACTTTCCTGGCATCCGTTAGGAGCCCCTCTGTGGGTTCTGGAGCTGGGCAGGCACGCAGACTGGGGAAAGGAGTAAAGACACATCTCCCTGACCCAGTGTTCCAGGCCAGCCCAGTTTGGCATGAGGGGGGTGAAGCCGGCCCCCCCACTCCAGTCCTTCACCTGGGCCGCTGTGCGCTGTCTGCTCTGTGCTGCCCATGCGGTCTACACCCTCTCATTCACTCCTCACTGCAGCCCAGGAGAAGGGTGGTTCTAATCCCCCCCCCCCAAGGAAACAGGCTCAGAGAGGGCAGCCCGCTTGCCCGGGGTCACACAGTGGAGTCAGAATTCAAAGCAGACGCCTGAGCTCTCCCTCATACCCCTGGCCAGTGGCTGCATGGCCTCTGGCGTGTCATGGACCAAATCTCAGCTGAAGGCTGAATTCAGGATCTGGGTCAGAATGAGGACCAGCCCAGGAGCCCGAAGTCGCCTTACAGGATGAGAGGGAGTCGGCTGAGTCAGCTGCGGAGAGCAGTCTGAGTGCTGGGTGCGTGGGTGACCCTGAACTTCCCCGAACCTCTGCAGAGGCCTGGGGGACTCGGGCAAGGCGGCCTTCAGACGGGAAGCCGAGGAGGCAGGCTTCCAGCCTGGATTCAAAGCCGGGGCTGCTTCCTTACTCTGCCTCTCCGGGCAGGATCTCATTATACACTTTAAAATAGCAAATAGAAGCAGGGAGAGAACCAACTCGCTGTACAGCACAGGTGGCCCAGTGGGCGTGGCCCCGATCTGGACAGCCCGCAGGCTGACTTTTACATGGACACAAGTGTGTGAACACCACTCCGACAGGGGCAGGCCTGGACCCAGGACCAGCGCCTTGGACAGTGACTTCCCCTCTCTGGTCCCTGGTTTCTGGCCTGCGAAAGGACCTTGCCGTGTTGGTGTTTCAAACCTGAGCTTGGATCAGAAACCACAAGAATGCTGGTGAAAACGCAGTTTCCCCGGGCCCAGGAATATGCATTTTACCACAAACCCCCAGAGGCTTCTGCTGCACTGGAACTCAGCCTCGCCTGCAGAATGGCCGGGCTGGAGGAGGCCGCTATACCCAAGGCATCTGAGAGGACTCTTCTCCTTCTTCTCCTTCCATACGCTTTTAAAAATGTTCTCTTTTTCCCTGCCCTTTGCCTGTCGTGGACGCCCCTAGGCTTTGCTTACTGTAGAAGGTCAAACCTCCGGCATTTAACAGAAGGCTCACGGAATTTCCAACTGACTCTCCGCTTCCAGGCCAAGGAATTTTTCATTCGTATTTTCTGTTTTTCTGAAGCTGCTGGGGCAGGGCTTCATACGGCTGCTCCGCCACCTGGTGGTCACACCTGGCACTGCAGCATTCTCAGCATCCGCGCATCCCTGCTTAAGTGCCCATCCCCCAAGGGTTCCCATGGGGAGGGAGGCAGGCAGCTTCAGATTATAGCCACCGAGCCCTCCAAGTGTCTCATTAAATTAATTGGTGTAAATTGAAGCCCTGGTTCTTACTGAACCAGAATTGCCACTGGGATTGATTTTCCTAGCCAAGACGCCATCAGTCAAAGCCAAAGCCAAACTCAGCTGCCAGATGACCTTAGGCAGTTCACCTCCCTTCTCTGACTCTGAGCTCCTCAGCTCTGCCTGGAGGCTGCCCACTGAAGGTAGTAAGATTCAACGAGATACTGAATGGGCCTGGAGTGGGTATCGGCTATCAGCACCATCACCGTCATTTCGTGCTAGCGCACTTGACCCTTTATCCTTTGTTTCTTTTCCAGTTGAAGTCAGAGCGTTTGACTCAGCTGGGCTCACTGGATTTGGCCTGTGCCCGCACTCCTGGAAGAACCCGGGGTCGGGAGAAGGTGAGGACCTTTCCTAGGCTCCCAGACCAGGGCAGGGACAGGGCTGTGCGGGGTCTCGAGCTCTGACCGCAGGTTCAGTGCGTCTTCCACTGTACCCAGGTGAAGAGAATCAATGAGCTGCCAGAAATCAAAGAAACAGTAACCATAAGATGTCTAATTATCTTCTGGTCTAGAGAACAGGCCGTGCCCTGCTGGGTAGGAGGTATTGATGAATCACAACAGGGACAAAGCCAGGTCTTACCTTCTCAGTTCCTTACTTCCTCCTCGAGGACATAACTCTGGAATTCTCTTCAAGTCACTGCCCAGCAGTAGCTTAGATCTCCCAGGTCTCACATGTTATAAAACCTCATCTTTGCAAACCCTCTTAAGTGTACCCGTGTGCCTTTGGGTACCTCTAAACTCAGTTCCCCTGTTCTCTCTTCCAGCCTGCATGTTATAGAAGTCATAGACTCATGCCAGAAACAGAAGAAAAGCCCCTTCTCTGGTGCCCTGGCTCCAACAATCCCATGCCCAAGAGGAACCCACGTGACAGCTTGTTTCGGAATTCAGAAACACATCACCATAAAGAAATGTAATTGGCCCTGGCCAGTTTGGCTCAGCAGTTAGAGTGTCGGCCTGTGGTCCAGAGAGACTCAGGTTCGGTTCCCGCTAAGGGCACGTACCTCGGTTGCAGTTTGTCCCCGGCCCTGGTTGGTCGTGTGGGTGGCAGCCACTCGATGTGTCCCTTCGCGTCGATGTTTCTCTCTCTCTCTCCCTTCCTCTCTCTCCCTCCCACTCTATCTGTACAAAAAAATGGAAAAATATCCTCGGGTGAGGATAAAAATAAATAAATAAATAAATAAATAAATAAATAAATAAATAAATATATTTAGCCCGGCCGGTGTGGCTCAATGGTTGAGCATCGACCCATGCACCAGGAGGTCACCAGTTTGATTCCCTGTCAGGACATGTGCCCAGGTTGTGGGCCTGATCCCCAATGGGGGGCGTGCAGGAGGCGGCCAATCAATGTTCTGTCATCAATGTTTCTATCTCTCTCTCCCTCTCCCTCTCCCTCTAAAAATCATTAAAGAAAACAAACTAAATAAATATAATTGGTTTTTAATTGAGAACCTGTATGTACATGGCAAACAGGCAATGGTCCAGAATGTAGAGAATGACAAGTAAATGTCCTTCCCCCACCACCCCCAGCTGCCCGGAGACAACAGCCAGCAACAGTGTATCACTTCCAGAAAATCTTAGAGCATCTGCAAACACATGCATTAAGTTTTTAAATTTTTGAACAGGCAGTAAATGCACAGGGTTTGAAAACAGAAAATGTGCCCTGGCCGGTTTGGCTCAGCGGTTAGAGCGTCGGCCTGCGGTACAGAGAGACCCGGGTTCGGTTCCCGCTAAGGGCACGTACCTCGGTTGCAGTTTGTCCCCGGCCCTGGTTGGTCATGCGGGTGGCAACCACTCGATGTGTCCCTTTCACGTCGATGTTTCTCTCTCTCTCTTCCTCTCTCTCCCTCCCGCAAAACAAAAACAGAAAATGTACAAGAAGGCAGGTGATGGAAAGGCTTGCTGATCAGCCCACCCGTCTGCGGATCCGGCTTGCCCCCCGCCCTCAGGGAGCCATTCTTTATTATTACTTGTTTTTTGTTACTCCTCACCTGAGGATATTTTTCCCATTGATTTGTCTTTTGACTTTGTTCCCGCATTATTGTCAATTTTTTTTTTTTTTTTGCCAGTAGAATTGTATTTATAATCGAATTTTCAGTGTTGTCTTCTTTGGATTTTGTGTCAGAATCGGAGAGGCCCTTCTCCACTCTGTGGTGATTAAAGATTCCTTTCGCGGTTTGTCTTTTTTAATCAAGAATGTTTGGTGAGTTTGTCACATGCCTTTCAGCACCTCGTTAAATCTATGAATCTGATGAATTAGATTAATGAATTTCCTGAGTTATATTAATGAGTGTTTCCAAGAACGCTGAGCCATCCTTCCACTCCAGGGCTGAGCGTTCTCAGACGCGGTGCGCTCTTCCTGCGCCGCTCGGCTGGACTCCGCGTTCCTGTCTTACTTTGAGCTTTTCGTGAATCTGCGTGTATGCGACTGGGCTGTGGCTTTCGCCCTTCTGTCCTTCCTTCCTTCCTCCTTTCCTCCGTCCCTCCCTCCTTCAATCTTTTTAAAAATATGTTTTTATTGATTGATTCTTTAGAGAGAGGAAAAAGGAGAGAGAGATAGAAACATTGATGTGAGAGAGAAACATTGATCGGCTGCCTCCTACACGCCCCTACTGGGGATCGAGCCCGCAACCCTGGCA